ACCATCATCAGACCAGTTAAACCACCATCAGACCAGTTAAACCATCATCAGACCAGTTAAACCACCATCAGACCAGTTAAACCATCATCAGACCAGTTGTCTGAGACACAGCTGACTGTGATCGGTTGTTTCTCACCTGTGTTGTTGTTTGTTGGGTCTGGACAGGTGGACGTCTGTCTGTGCTGCCAGCGTTTCACCTGCAGCTGCTGCAGCCAATAGAGCATCAGCTCCTGAGTCACAGCCTGTGGGTGGGGGAGGGGTGGGGGGTGGTGGTAGTGGTGGTGGTGGGGGGGTAACAACAGGTGACCCCTGAGATTAAGTGGTACGGCTAACGGAAGCAAACAGCAACAACTGTCTCAGTGGCTGAGACGGTCCTGGTCTACCTGTCCCCTTTACCTTGAGTATGAAGGTGCGTTCAGGTGTCTTGATGTGGAAGGTGCCGCTCTCGGCCTTCAGGGGGTAGGTGAAGGTGGCGCAGCTCAGCTCCACCCGGCCGAGCGGCGTGACATCCTGCGGCGTCCGGTAGTAGAACAGCTGGTTCTTCTTCTCCTCGTAGGTGAACCAGCGCTGCTTCCAGGCCCTCAGGGGCCCCCCCTGCTTCTGCAGGAAGCCACATAGTTTGGGCTCCGGAGGGCAGGGCGGCACCTGGTCACAGAACGCCTCGATGGTCGGGGGCGGAGCCAGGGTTGACACCTCAGTCGGATGTCCAGTCAAAGACAAAACCTGCGGAGGAGACAGGTGGTTCTGCTGGACTACAGGAGGACCAGGAGGAGCTGGATCTTGGTCTTTGGACTCCTTCTGGTTTTGTTCATCGAATGATGAACTGAAAGCAGTTAAGTCCTTTGTGGGCTGGGGGCGGGCCTCTTCAGTTCTCGGGTTTGTGAGACAAAGATCGTTCTGGGTTTGGTGTTCCTGAGGGTCACCTGAGTTTTGTTCATGTCTCAGACGAAGAGGATCTCCTGGTTTCTTTTGATCTGTGCAGAGAGGATCTGGTTTCGGTGAGTCTGGTTCGGTTGGAGAAGGTTGATCTGGTTTCGGTTTGACAACAAGAGGTTCTGGTTCAGCTGGAGAGGGTTTTTCTGGATTTGGTTGATGTACCACAGGAGAGTCTTCTGGTCTCTGTTTCTCTGTCGGAGGGTTCTGGTGGTTTGTGTGTTCGGTGACATCCAGCCGGTCTGGTTCCTCTTCAGTCCGTTGGGTCTCTGCAGGACTCTGGTGTTTCTGAGACCCAGGCAGACTGCCTGACTCTGAGCTCTGCTGGTCTTCCTCAGCTGGTCGCAGCATCTCCTCGTTAGCGTGGACAGGAAGTGAGCGAGACGAGGCAGCGGTGGGATTTCCTGCTGAGCCACTTCCATTCATCCTGCTGAAGAAAAAAACAGAGAAGAAGAGGAAGACGAAGGAGGGAAAGAAACTTAAACATGTTTGTGATCTTCAGTACTTGATTAACTTGATGACAATCAAACGCACCTTTACATTCTTAAAATTCATTCTGATATTTTTCATGTTCAGTTGATTCATTTGAACTCATTTTAAAATGGTTCAAATTGAATATTTCTGCATTTCATTTCATGTCTAACTTGATGAAACTGAGTCTGAATAAATACTGTGATACTAACACCATGACACTGAATAAGCAGGATGTTTATTAGTAAAACTTTATTTAAACACTGGTGTTTCACTGCAGCGAAGAGCTTGACTTCCTGTTCTGTCAGGCTGGAAACAAACTGAAGGTTCACAGGAAATTATCTCCACAATAATGAGACATAATGACAGGAAGTGCCTCCGATCCAGGGGAGCGAAACCCTCCACACCCCGCCCTGACTCTGACCTGGATCATGAAACCCAGTCTGAATCTGCTTTGCGGACCAGGTCTCGTGGCAGCAGGTTAAGCAATGTTGTCCAGCTCCTCCTGGGGACCCCGAGGCGTTCGATCCGGGGTGTTCTGGGCCACCTCGAGGGTCTCCCACCAGGTGCATGTGTCCAGATCAAGAGGTCTGGCTCCTTCCAACATGCCCCCCATCACCCCCCCCCCCCAACCCCCGCCCCCACCCATGGTTCCTGTCCCTCAAATATAACCTACATCTACATATATGTAATAAAAATGTGCTGTTTTTCTTTATCTGACTTAAAACAAGCTGATTTTCGAGAACAAAGAAATGATCAGATAACCACAAGTTCCAGCTCTGATTCAGATCAACACCTCAGTATCAGACCGCTGTGACCTGCACTGTATTGATTATAGATCATAGATTATGGATTATAGATCAGACATGAAAAAACAAACACAAACGTCAGTGTGAGACTGTGATTCTCACCTAATAAATAAAGTTACAACACTGACAGAACACAGCGTAACACCAGCTGTCTGACAGGAAGTGATGAAATACCTCATTGTTTCAGAAAAGCTGCTTACAGTCAATGAGCCCATTCATATACACACACACACACACACACACACACACACACACACACACACACACAGATTCTAGAATAGAATAGAATAGAATAGAAAAGAATAGAATACCTGATTAATTTTACCTAACTCACATGTTGAAGGATTTTTAGCGGCAGTTTAATATTCTTACATCGTTGTGTTGCTGCTTTTACTGAAGTAAAGGATCTGAGTACTTCTTCCACTGTAGTACAGCACAGTATTTATACATTGTTTATGAAGTTTTTATAAATACTCGGTACAGTACTCTGTTTAGTACTCGTGACAGATAAATGTAATGCAGTAGAAGTATACAGAAGTTAAATACTTAATAAGTGTGTTGTTAAATACAAATGATTACTTCAGTACAGTACTGGACTAAATGTACTGAGTTAGTCTCAGCATGTCCTAACCTGTGCAGAAACACACCTGAGCACTTACCTGAAGGGGCGTGGCCTGAACAACACCTGGATCCTGTTTGTTTGGCAGCTGCAGCAGAGCAGCTTCTCTCAGCTTAGAGCCACAGTTTTCCTCTTCTTCTTTTCTTCTTGTTGTTTTTCTGTTTTGTTGTCTTCTCCTTCTTCTTCTCCTTCTTGTTGATTTTGTTTTCTTCTTCTTCTCTGGTTTCTCCAGTTTGTGTCTCTTTTTCTCCTGTTCTCTCCTCTCCTCTTCCTGAATCTTCCCTCCAGCCGCTCACACTTTTTGCTCAACAAGTCACCGCAACACCGCAATACCACACACGACTTCCGTTTTTTTATTTCAAAATAAGAGCTGCTTTTAAAAAATAACTTTTCAAAATAAAGTGATTTCTTCATTTCAGCTTCTCAGATTTCCTTAATGTATGAACACTGATGTACGGGAGCCGTGTAGTTCCGTTTCTTTGAATCTTCACAGTTGATTTTGAAGATGTTTCTACAGTAAATACATTTACATGTCGCGTTCACTTCCATATTTTATAATTGTAAATGTGAAACACAGACTCTGTTCATTCACAGATCCACAGTGAGAAACAGACAGTAGTTTTAATCTCAGTGATGTCACAGTCCAGTTTCTGTGATGTCGTAAAAACACATTGATTGTTGTAGTTGGTTATCAGAACAGAGAGATCAAAGCCTGCCCCCTGCTGGTTCCCTGTGGGAACACATGGAGAACCTCAGTGTTTGGTTTGAGGAACTTCACAAAACAAAACTTGTGCAGACTTCTTTTTATAAGAAATATTTTATCTTTCAAAGACACAGAGACGGTTTTTCTCTCCTTTACCTGCCTCAACCACAGATCTATTGAACTGGCTTAGCCTCTGGCTGCCACCCTAACCCATGCGTCTTCTAATCATCAACGCTGATTAATACAAATTCTACAAGTACGACAATTAAATTAGACAACGTGAACTGCATGAGAATTATACTTAATTCACTGTTTCTTTAAATTAAAAAAACAAACCAAAAAAAGAAACAGTCGGAACCTTTACTACTAACTGCCTCGGTTCCCCTCCGGACTCTCATACAGGTTGTACCGCACTACAGTCGGCTTGTATCCCCCCCCCCCAGTCAGAATTAATCGTTAGATATTTTGTCGTCCGGTTCCCTGTTCTGGACGTTTGGACTTTTCACCGAATTCAAACATTAACAGTCGGTATCGCGGGAAAAGTTCGTAGAAAAACAAACTGAAAGCCGAAGATGTGCGAGTTTGAACCCGGAGCGGCGGCGTGTGTGAACCGCTACATGCTACGTGTACGGTAACGGTTAACGTGAAGGTGGCTGGCTAGCTAACGGAGAGAGAGAGAGTGAGAGACACACACACAACCTAAGACAGAGAGAGAGAGAGAGAGACGTGGATCCAGAACGAACCGGATTTTAACTTTTTATTTTACCGAGCAGATGTTCAGAAGCTGTGAAACCGAACCGCCGGAGGTTTGCGCGGTGAAAGTTAGCAGAGAGTTACCGCTGAGGACGGCTCGGTCCCCGGCAACAACTTGGACGCGAGAGAGGATGGAGGAGTGAAAAACACTGGAAGTAACGAGGGAGGTTTTGTGTGGAAAACGACACATACCGCTGCTGTTTTAATGTTTGCCTGAGCGGTTAACGTCTGTTGGTGTTTTTAATCGTTAATAAACGGACTGAAATCAGCAGCCATAGGTTTGTAAAGATGATGTATTCGTCGAGGAGAAAGCCGGTCCTCTACTTCAAAGAGGAGAAGAGGTACGTTTGTTTTAGTGTCCTCATCAAACTGTTAACGGCTGCTCACGTTATTCCTGTTTAATTCACAATGATGGTGCATTAAACGGTTAAAGAAAGTGTGGAAACCAAATGTTCTCTTTTTTTGACCTTTTAAAGAAATGAGATCTCTAAAGTTCCCCATCAAGAGCAGAGGAAGTGAGTAGATACTGTGGCTTGGCTGTGGTTCCCAAACTGTGGTCCAGGGACGTGAAGAGGTCCTCACAGTAATTCAAACAAATCCTCACAAGCAGTGGCCTGGCAGAGGGTTTGTTTTGAATTCCATCCTGGATTTTTGGGGGAAATGTGACTAAAATTATTCAGAAGTCATGTTGAATATTTATTTTTGGGTTTGAATTTAGTTTAATGAAGAGATTCAATGAGATAAGAGGTGAGAAAAGGGAGAATCAACAATTCAAAGAGAAGTTGAGGCATCATCATTATTATTGTTTTCATTATTATTAAATTCTTCATTTAAACAGGTACTCTCAGACCTGTGTACAAAAATAGACATGCACAGTTTATACATAGACACACACATAAATTCTCAGACATTAAAATAGATACACACAGATTGTAAATACATGAGTGCAACCTTTTGATGTGTCCCAGTGAGAAGAAGAATGTAACTTGTATCACTTGAATGCAGCGTAGTGGTTGAAACCGTCGAGTTCATCGTATAAACTTTTAGTGTTTTGGTGTGTGTTTCTTCCTCCTGTGGTTAATTGGCCAAAAATACCATAATGTGGCTTCATGTGAAGATATTTCCAGCAGCTCCAGTGACTGCAGAAAACATTTAATTGATTTGACACTTAAGACTTCACTGTCACTCCCTCAGATTTAGAGTGACAGCTGATCTTTTGTAGCTCAGTTTGAGGTTTTTGTGATGAGACCACTGAGCTGTCGCTTCAAGTTCAAACTCATTTCAACCGCCACATAATTCCTTCAAACTGTTGTTGGTGACGGCCGTTTGACGTGCTCCTGGCAGAGGATGAGTGTGGTGAAAAGTGTTGTTAGACCAGCTTGTACAGGTGCTGCTGCTCCTCTGGTTTCTGCTGCCTCACTCACCTGTGCGGCAGCAGCAGGTGAGTCCTCAGGTTTGTTACTGAGTTATGTCCCCAAATGTCTGAGAGTGAGTTCATGACGAAGTTATACCATCGGTCGACCGAGTGTTGGACTTTAACCATTGGCCGTTGCTCTTATTCAAGAAACTGGAACCGTCATATTTTTTGCTTGAAAACTGACTTAAACGATTGATTTTCTTTCAATTGATCAAGCAACTGATCAATGAATCGTTGCAGCTGTAGTGTATTTATTAAACTGTGTTTATGAGTCTGACACAGTTTGGGAACCTCTGCTGTTGAATGATTGTTGCTCAGTTTGTTGACTGGTTTGCACTGACTGGAATCACAGCAGGTGATCGACTAATCGTTTTCAGCATGAAAAGATCTGATGAAAATGTGCAGCATGAAAACATTCAAACATCTAAACAGAAAAATGAAGAACAGAAGAGGCGTCCTGTAGAGGTGATGGGTTGATGTTTGGTGTTTGGTGGTTTGGTTGGTTTGTCTGTCTGGATGTTTGCCGGTCTGAACCAGCACTGACCACTGAAGCTCTTTTCACACGTGGAAACCAAACAGCACAGACTTCACTTAAACTAATGCTTTTCATTTAGACCAAAGTGACATTTACACAAATATTCCCCATGACTTTATAAATGACTTTTTTCCTGTTTGCTGATTGTTAATTTGTCTGATTATGGTTGTTTCAAAGAGATCTGAATCTCAAGAGAATATCTGATTGAATAAAGATTTAGAAAAGTTTATTTATTAACGCTCCACAGTTCAAAGTTTTTTCAAACTAAATGTAAGCGGCCCTGTTTGTTAATGGTATGTTATGTCTTGTTGTCATCACCTGTATGTTTGTTGGTTTTCTTCTGCTGAAGATGGAGACGATCGCTGCTGTGTTTTTCTGAACTCACTCTTGGCTCCTGTGTTTCCAGGTTCCTGTCTGGTAAGTGCACGGTCTACAAGCTGTTCGGCCTCTGCATGGTGCTGGTGCTGGTCTCTCTGCTCTGGCTGCAGCTCAGCTGTTCAGGTGAAATGTCCTCCATGCACGAAGACAGACGCCTCCCCCAGCAACAGCCGCCGCCGCCCTGCCCTTCTGACAGTCAGGCGTCTGCAGCTGACGACCCCTCCTGGGGTCCTCACAAACTCGCCCTGATCATCCCGTTCAGAGAGCGCTTCGAGGAGCTGCTGGTCTTTGTTCCCTTCATGCACACGTTCCTCAACAAGAAGAAGATCCGCCACAAGATCATCGTCATCAACCAGGTGGATCACTACAGGTGAGAACATCACTGACAACCACAGAAGAAGAGATCACTGTTAGTCTCTGAGGGCGTTTTCAGCTCTCTACGTCTGAGGAAGAATCAGGAGGAGAATCCATCTTTAAAGCAAACAACAACAGTCACACTTATTTATATCGACCAATATTAATTCTGCACATGGAGGAAAAAATGATAATTGAATTTAGCAGATATGTATTTAATGTAAGGATTCTGTTAGTATTACAAAGTCAGGCCTTGTTGTTGACACATGGATAAATCACTTTGACCCATTTTCATCATTTGAGTACTTCATTAAATGTAATTTAATTTATATAATTATATAGGAGGACTAACGAGGTCAGTCTGTTCATTTCTGGTTGGTATGTGCCGCTAACAGCCTCTCAACAGACACAGGGTGTATCTGCCTTTGTACAGTGAAGCTCCTCCAGATCACCAAGGTACATTATGTAAAAAACAAAATAGATTTTCATTATAAAAAATGTGGATCATCTCCTCTGTAAATTTTGATGAGCACAGTGTAATTAAGAAGTGACTTTTTTGATAAGTAGCATCTTAAAAAGGCTTTTTCAAAAATATCAGTCCATGAGTTACTCTGGGTTCTAAGTTACACACAGACCCATGTAAACAGATACTTATAATTCATCATTTCAGTTTGGACTAAAAGTGCCAAATGAATGTAATGTAACGTCAGGTAGTCTGACCTGGGACCAGCTGGATCTGGACGTGGCCGATGGGACGATGTCTGGGCTACGTGCTCGTCCTCCTGGATATTTATTTAAAGACATCCACGATCAGAACAGCCGACAGAAATCCAAGCTGCAGAGAGAGCGACCGTGTTTTTCCATCTGCTGTTTCAGATTTAACCGAGCGTCTCTCATCAACGTGGGTTACATGGAGAGTGGGAACGACACGGACTACCTGGCGATGCACGACGTGGACTTGCTGCCCCTGAACGACGCTCTGGACTACGGCTTCCCTGAGGACGGGCCTTTCCACGTGGCCTCCCCTGAACTGCACCCGCTCTACCACTACAAGACCTACGTAGGAGGAATCCTGCTGCTCACCAAGAAACATTACCACATGGTACTGAGCTTCTTATCTGGTCTTAGCATGGCTTAAGTTCTCCAGCACCAGGCTGTTACAAATAGATATTTATATGTCTTTTCTTGTGTGTTTTTTTAACTGTCACATAGCAAGAGTATGGCTTTATATAAATAAATAAATGTATATATATATATATATATATATATATATATAAACCTTTGTTTGCACTTGGCTAAGTGAAGTGTCAGCTCAATAATGGATGTGGCTGCGCTACTTTGAAAAAGCTCTGCAATGAACAAGCTGTTGGTTTTTTTTTCATATCATGATCAATCTCTTGGACTGATTTATCAATGGTTTGACAACGATCAGTCTATTATGTCTCATCGTCCATTTAGAGACTGACGGAGGAACGAGCGTTAAAGTTTAAACAGCCGTGTTGGATAGTTCTGTTTGTCTTTATGGCTTTGAAAGTTGTGCTTGGACTTGGACTCAGTTACAGACTCTGGTTTCCCACTGGGGAGTCGGGGAATAGATGATGCGTTTTTCCTCCATTTGGACCTTTGAAGTTAACGTGAGGATTCACGTGTAGAAATTAGATTTGTGTTTTTGTCTTTCTGAAACAGGTCGTGACATGAACCACAGCCGACATCGAACACATTTCAGGCACAGACATTTTCCTAGCTTTAAGCCCTGTACTAGTAATGTAGTGACATGATTTGTCCACCAGATGGAGCTCTTTAACCTGGTGTGAATTTACCTGTGCTAAACTCTGATGTGCAGGAGCAACTCGCACTGTTCTGCAATCTGAGTCTTTGCAGTCTGAAGATTTAATTCCCCTGTTTCTTTTTTTATTTGCAGTGTAACGGGATGTCGAACCGGTTCTGGGGTTGGGGCAGAGAAGACGACGAGTTCTACAGACGACTGAGAAAAGCTGAACTCCAGGTACAAAGTCTCTTCATGCTCCGACAATAAGTGAGGTCACTGCAGTGAGAAACTGAATCCTCTGGAAGGAGGGCAGCTTCTCTTTTTCTTTCTCATGTCGGTTTACTCAGCAGAAAAAAGATGAAACGTGAGGATCCTGAAAAAATATTATCATCACCTACATTTAAAACATTTGCTCATATCCAAGTCCAAATAATGATTTAGATTGAACTAGTTTTTATACAGTTAACATCATTAAAGACCAGTACTTTGTTGAAATGTTTTGGATATAAATTATTAGTAATTTCCTGCCTGATCATGTGGTTAACTCTTAAAATATATAAAGGCTAAATAAGTTGTCAGTCAGAGGTTTGAACATGAATGTCGTTGTGTCTCTGCAGCTGTTCAGGCCGAGCGGCATCACTACAGGATATAAAACCTTCCTCCACATCCACGACCCGGCCTGGAGGAAGAGAGACCAGAAGAGGGTCGCAACTCAGAAACAGGTACAGGTGTTCATCATGTTACAGCACAGAGGAGCAACGTCCACTGCTCCTGTTACTGCTACGAACAACTAGGAACCCTTAAGTCTTTATCATCACATGTTAAATTCAACAACGTGTAACTGGAGTGATCTGCATGTTGCTTAAAAATCAGAAACATCCAGAGAAATCTGAAGGTAGGTGTTCTACCAAAGTTATTAAATCTGTGAGGTTTAAGAGCGTCATTGTTTTTCTAAAATCATGAGCTCGAACAAATAAATCAGAAAATAAGATTAAACAGTTGAAGGTGGTGAAGAAAGTCGAGTCAGAGGCAGCTGTTTATATCGTAGAGTTTGATTTTAAAACAAATCAACTCTCAAACTCTTTTCTGTAACGATCCGACGCTGGGATGTAAAGAGAGAAACAGATCCACCTGGAGCTGAAGAAGTTCGTAGATAGTGATGGAGTGGATACAATAAAAACTTGAGGAATTATCTGTAATTCTGTTCACAATTACTAATGGTAAATGACAGAGTGATGTAATAATCTTCATCCTGAATAATCCACAAAATCAATCAGATTCAACGCTGGAATAAACCCCTCCCTCCCTCCCTGTAGGAGCAGTTTAAGGTGGATCCGGAGGGGGGGCTGACTAACCTCCGTTACCAGGTGGAGTCCAGACAGGAAATGACCGTCAGCGGGGCTCCCTGCAGCGTCATCAACACTAAACTGGAGTGTGACCAGGAGCAGACCCCCTGGTGTCTTCTGGCGTAGACTCTGAGTCCAGGTCCTGGTTGTTCTGGAGGCGTATCAGGGTTTAAACTGGCAGCACTGCACGGATCCTTTAGGGAAAGAGACTCAGTTTTGCTTCAAGTTTCTGCTTTTTAATGGACGTTACTGATGGACCTGCAGTGGGAAAATCCCCCTCAGTCAAACCAAACGTGGAAGCAGAACACAACCAGCCTGGAGCTTAAAATCACAGAGGAGTAAACAAACTACATTTCCCTCTTATCAGGTATATCTCAACAATAAAACTGCTGTTTCATAAGCCAGGTAGAAATATGACTGTGACAGTTTCCTACCTGTCAAACGGGTCAGTTCAGTAACAGAACAGTAAAACCTCACAGCATTAATGTGGAGGACTGGAACTGCTCCTGTCTGACTCATCTGATGAAACTCACCTGAACTGACCTGGAAACAGTTTGGTGTCTGACCTCAACACTCAGTGCAGCGATGGAGATGGACTGTTACACCGAGCCAAACCAGACTGAGCTCATGTCAAACAGACAAGCATGACCAAACCTGAGCTGTTTCAGTTCTGTTAGTTCTCTTTGGTACCTGTCGGCATGGTGTGAATGCAAACTTAGTCTTTTTTTATTTTTTATTTTTAATGTGGGCTTGTGCAAATGGAGCAGAGATGGTCGAGACGGCTGCCGACGACGCATGTTTTCACCAGAAGTCGGACACGTGTGCCGTCACACCGTCACATCAGAGGGTTTCTTTAAGCTTTTTATCCATCAAATATAAAATGAATCGGTGCTCGAGGATTTCTGACTACTAACCTCCAGAGTATCTCATTGTTTTATTTTCCCGCCGACACTGTTAAATGAAGAGAGTGAAGTCTGAAACTCTTCTTGTTGGTGTTTTTATTTTTTACACTATGTTCCTTTTTAATAGAGGCACATTGAATTAGCCAAAGAAAAAAATTGGAGACTTTAATTGTGACTCCTGTTTCTTGGTGTCTAATAATCACAAAACTTTTTCTCTTAACTACGAGAGAGGCGCCGTGAGATTTGGATTTTGCAGTTATGAAATACGAAGTCATTATTATGAGGAAACATCCCCTAGTTTCTTTTCTTTGATGAATGCAGAGTTTTTTCAAAGTAAACTGAGCCAAACTAAGTCAAACCAGCCTCAACTCAACTCAACTGTAGCAGACTGACATTGAGATGCTTTGGCAGCAGCATGAACTTCATGAATATAAACATGAACAATTTAGATTGATCTCATCAGACTTTTCAAAATAAAATAAGGAGTATCCCAGAATCACAGTGCAGCAGGTTTATTAGTGTTTCTGACAGAACACAGACTGTAAAAGTCGATTTGATTTGAGCAAATGTCTCTAAACGTTTATTTGAGAATAAAAGGTAAGTCAGTACAAATGAAAGGTAAATCATTACAAAAACCTCCTCAAAAATAAAAATTTAAGGTCATTTTGTTATTGACTGTATTGTGAAAGTGTCACTGCAGGTTTTTTAATCAGAAAGAAAAGGGGTCGAAAATGACTTTACAAGTTTTTGAAAATGTTACAAAGTTCCAGTCTGTTACCATGAGAATACTTGTTTGTTGATGGGAAGCCGGTGAGGGATCTTGTCCTTAACATAAAATGATACTGACATAAATGTCTGTCAGTATAAACTCAGTCTAGCTTTTTAGTTAAGTGTTCAGAGGGCTGCTGACAGTGTCTTCTTCTCTGCTGTTGTAGTGTCCTGGTCGGCCTCCAGAGAAGGCTCTAGAGTTTTAAAGGCGATGGCTTATATACAGACCACGATGTCATACTGATTTATTTCCCAGAGAGAATGGTGCCATGTGTTTGTACAATATTCAGTATTTATATAAATCTGACTCTATAAAAAATGTCTCGGCTTGTTTCTTCTTCTCTGTTTGCATGGTTTTGAATGAAGAAGTTTTCATGGACGACTACCAGAGCCAGACCAGCGTGGGCTGCACTGAGCCCACTCCAGCTGCACCACGACAACTAACTTAGTATTAGTGAATGTAAACTGCTCTGCTTGTTCAGCCCCACCCCCCCTTAGTTACTGTTGCTACCATAGACTGTATATAAAAATGGATGTTGACGCCGGGTCTGGAAAATTGAAGCAATGCGGAAGTGCGTTGACCCTACTTGTCACTTGATTTGTTACCTCAGTAAATGTTTTCATTGTGTGTTTATGGTCTGAATTGGTAGTTTGAAGTTTTCTTCAATACAACATGATGTTCATTTTTGAAATGATGGTCCTATTTAAAAGAATATAGACGTTAAAGCAGAGTAATTTAGGGCGTGGCTACCACGTGATTGACACACAGAGGGACCTGCCTGTTAATCCGGATATGAGGTCAGAGCGATGTGTCGGACACTTCACTTGTAATTGTGTTTCAGTTCATCAAAGTTAGCTCCAACATGTTGTTTGCCTGTAAATGTCTGTCTGAGGACTATGAAATATGGACTCTAATGTTTTAAACTGTTGATAGTTTGTTACAGCTACAGTGGAGTCCAAAGGTCATGTGATTGAATGTCTGACATGGGACAGTGAGTGTAATACGACAGTGAGGGTGAAGGGAACAAGGAAGAGCACAGCTGATCAGACTGAACAATGTTATGGCCACAAGTGTTACATTAAAAATACTATATTATCATATAAGACACTGTGTGTATGTTTGGGAAGAGAAGATCTTCATGTGTGGACACTGCAGGTGGAGGTGGTGCAGGGCCTCCATCATTGCTGCAAGAGGTTGTAGGTGTCCCCAAAGATCCAGACCTTGGCTGGATGGAAAAAAACATTAGAGAGAAATCATATCAATATCATATTGTAGAGTATAGAGCAAAAGACCAAAGAAACAGCACTCTGATTAGATGATCACAGATATCTGAAAATACATTATTCCCTCAGCTTAGTTGTAATAAACAGTCTGCTGAACCGTTTTACATGAAATAACAATAGAATAGAAACTAATACTCAGTTTGGTGTCATTGTGCAGGTGCACATGTCATGATGGTTCTCAGCTCTCAGTGATGTTCTTTATTCTGACAGACAGAATCATTCCAACAGATGTTTTGACTCCTGTCATCAATAATGAAATGAACTAGAGCTGAAAACTTGCCGACTAACACTGAACCAAACTTAATATGAACAAACCCGACACACACGTCCGCTGCTCTGCTCTTTAACAGCACGTCCAGACACGACAGTTCCCTGTAATAACGGGATCGTTTAGTGACCGTGACTTACCGACATTGACAAACTGCTGTCACAGCAATGATCCTGTCAGTCCTCACCACAGCTGTTGCCGTTTCAGCATCAGAGGAAGAGAGTTTAAGAGCCCGGCCCGCACATCATTAGTGGCGGCTGACATGATCGGCAGCTCGCCTCTGTACTGCCTTTGTGAACATTTGTGTGTAATTTGTGATTTGGTTTGAGATGCTGGTAGTGATTGTTGGGGACTGAGCTAGGTTTAAAATTCTGATTGTGCATCACACCCTTAGAAAAAGACTGGACACATTAGGAACAGGGGTGCTGCTTCTTGTGTTTTTGGGTTCGTTAGAATCACATAGTTAGGCTCTTTGTTGGCTCCTGTTCCCCTACTTCAGTTGTCCTCTTGCCTTGTTTGTATTTTTGTTTACTTATTTACCCTCCTGGTTACGCAATAAATTAAATCAGTAAATTTGATTTACCAGTAACACCTGGTTTTATGTTGCTTCCCTTTTCCCCTAGCTGGGTCATAACATAAAGACTGCCAACATACGGTGACTGGGGAGACAGTGCCATGACCTCATATCCTGGCACCATAAACAAATATGGCAAAAGTGAATTGACACCTGCAACATCTACTGGCCTGAAAGCAAAATGGGCAAATACAAACATTTGTACATCACAAATTGAATGTAAGTATAAGGGAAAGCAGGATTGTATTTAATAATCCAAGCATAGATTTATTTACTGTCAAAGCAAATTAAAATGTTTTGTATGCATCAAATGTGTCAATGTCAGTCAAGTTAAGCTTAATATCTTTGTTTTAACTTAAGTGTCAAAACTGTAAGTTGGTTTGCAATGTGGGCAAAGGACATGTAGCTTTACTTTTAAATGTCAGCTTTGGTGGTTGTGCTGTAAAGGTGCAATATAAGATGTGGCCAGAACTTAAAATGTTAAAAAAATGAATGAACACTATCAACAGTGTGTGAAGCAGCCACAGTGATGATGTCATGATCAAGACCTCTGTTGTATTTCAGAGTTATCTACTGAAATGCACATGTGCACCAGCCAATCACTGTTTCCTCTAATGAATATCAGATCTATATTAACACACACTGCTCTCTGATTATCTTTCAGCTGTCTTCTTGGACTGAACTCGGGCCCTGCACACTGGGCCAGTGTTAGCCGCCTGGTGGAGGCCGTTTGCAACCGGCTCTGCGTCTTCACCCGGTGGCCACGTGGTCCAGAGGGACCGTGAGGACTCGCTGGTCATTCATTCTCAAGTATTATGTGGCATCACAGAGGCAGTGCTGGCCGGCCCCAGGTTGAGGCTCAGACCAACATCCAGCTCTTTGAATTGAATTGAGGACTCAGTGGTGAGAGTTTGTTATAAAGCTGTTGGTGTGTTGTAAACTGTTCTGTGATTTATCTTTTAATGAAAGCTGAAAATCCTAAAACAGTCTGTGTTTGTCTGTGTGTTCCAGGTGCTGGCCAGACTCTCCCTTCAGCAAAGGGTCTGTCCTTGGTCCAGGTGGGACAAGGACAGCCCTTTAACTTAAATGTCCCGGAGGAGCATATTTGAGTTGAATTAAATAATGTGTGCAATTTACAATCAACTGTAACTGACAAATTAAAAATAGAATACAGTTGTGAATGAAGGTACAGGTGAACTTCACTGTCACAAGACAAGTCTGCATCATAAAGAGGTGGATAAATCTTATTTAGTAACAAGTATAAATTATAGTAGAGATGTAAAATAATACTTCATAGCTCAGTGAGGACAGAGCAACAGTCTGACAGGTTGACTGGAAGCTGTTGCAGCCGTCCATAAGTGATGGAGGGAAGGTGCAAAAAGTCCAGGAGCCGTTATTCATCGTCAGTCTTAGTGTTAGAATACGTTTTACACTGGTTTTACAGTTTAACGTTAGCACACATGCTAACTTCAGCTACAATAACATTACAAGTTACTCCTCACATATATGATATTTGCCAAATGGATGTTGGATATTTGCAATCAGCCTGTAAGACTAATGTAACAGTTGAGACAGCTAACCGTGTTAGCAGCATCTTCGCACGGCTCAGCCAGGAGCCTGTTGCTGCCAGGTTGCTGATGCAGGTGGGTTTACCTGGTGTCCTCGAGGACACAGGTCAGATCCACCCCTCCCTCCTCCCCAGCTCCACCCTCTCATCCAGATAGTGTTTCTTCTGGCTCCAAAAAACCAAGATGGCGACGTCCATTAAGCCAAACTCAAGGATTCAAAACGGCAGTTCACAAACCGATGGGCGACGTGACGGCAGTTTGCCACTGGGTTGTTACCTCTGTGAAGCTTTGCATTCCAGAGGAACGTTCTGGATTGTGGTTTACACAGTGATAACGAGGGTAGATTGAGCATCAAAACATTTTCAACAATGAGTCGTTAATTTTAACCACAAATAGAAAAAGCAGCTTCACATTTACAGCACTATCAGATATTAGCAGCTCTAGCTAGCTAGTTGAGCAAATGTTAGAAAATATTTTTAATCTTGTAGATGTGATCTGTGGCTACACATGATAATAGACTGCTAATAGATTGAGGCTAAAGCTAACAGGCCCAGGAAAGAGTCACCATCCTCACAGGTTGATGTAGAAGACGTGGAAATAAAGAAACAGATTTTGGAGCTAGTTTGCTTTAATTTAATAAGTATGATGAAAAACAAATGTAAGACTAGTCTGTTAATTCTGACATAACCCTGTTTAATACATGTTTGTCTTTTCAGTCAGTGAATATTTCTGTCGTCATGTTACAAGAGAAAAGACTTGGGAAAAACACCTGTCAAGGTGCTTGAACGTAGCGCTGTCTCGGCTAACGTTGGCTGGAGTTCAGGTGAGATCAGGATAGAGAGCTAGCATTAGCCTACACGCTGCTAGTTTCCAGATCCAGCTCTCGTACAGTACTACATAGTGGATGTAACTTATATCCGCTCAAAATAATAGTAACGATATGGTACTGCTCATAGGTAGCAAGATAATTAGCCGGACATGCTAACACTAACAGCTTACGTTAGATCAGAATAACACTCAGTTTAATCCACTCCTTATAGTTTTGCTCTTGTGTTTCTGGTTTTGTAAAAGTTGAATATAAAGATTTGACCCCCCAGCTCTAAAGTATCACTCCTGTGATAATAACATACATGTTTTTTAATTGATCATAAACCAGGAACTAAAACAGCACATAAAAATCATAATTTAAATGATACAACAGAGGAAACTAAAATTAATGAAAATGTAAAAAACAAATAAAATGTTAAAGAAAAAATAAATTTAAAAAAAGAATAAATGGGTACATAAATAAATACATAAACAATTATTCAGTCAGAGGTAAAGGGGGAAAATATAATTGTCAAAAGCTTATTACTTTTTTGTTGTTTATTAAACTGATTAATTTTAAAAAATTGGCAAATTTAGGAGTTGTTTCAGTGAAGTTTTGTTTTAAGAATTTAACAATTAGAATTATGAAGTTAATTAAATATTCAAGACCCCTATCATTTGGATTATCATAGTAACAAATAATATCTTGAAGGTTGACGGGTAGAGAGAGTTAGCAGTTTTTAAAAAAGTGAGACGTGAGTTCTCTCCAAAACTCTGAGGCTCAATCACGTCATGTTTGGAGGCTGAAGATACGTTTTTACTCAGGTACAGCAGAGTAAATCTGCTCATTTAAATCAATCAATCAATCAATCAATCAATCAATCAATCAATCAGA